TCCCTCAAGTATGGTGGAAAGAGGCTCCTTTGAAGTCGTATTGGAGTCCCTTTGAGAGGGGGGGGTCTTGGAAATGTCTGGGACAACAAAAACTCAGAATTGCAGACGTCGGTTGATTTCCGCGATTCATTGTGAGATCAGTTAGTGTGCCTGCTTGGGCACTTATCTGATAGATGCGGTTCAGTGGAAAAGCAAACTAATTTATTGCCCGGCCGCTCACGGCCTCTACACAGCTGAAAAGCCAAGCACAAAGGGGCGGGGCGCCGCGCGAAGACTGGAAGATCGCGTTGACCGCGACACTCCGCGCGGCGCCAACCATACAATGATTCATCATCAAAAACGAAACCACAGATTACTGTCATACATTAAACCTAACTAGAGTAGGATTACGATGCAACAAAATAAAATGAGCATACAGTGATAATCATGCCACCATAATCAACCAAGAATAATGTCACCTTACATCAATCAAGTAGTACCGATCACTGAGCTGGTATCACGGGCTTCGTCTCTGGGCTCGCTCGCATAGCCGATACGTCGTAGTCGTGGTGAGTGGATGAGTTGAACTGCGCCTTTCGATTCCCTTCGAACTCTTGTGCAACGAATGACCATCATTTGACAGCATGAACGGAGTAGTAGCGAAGGGTGAGCGATTGGTAGTCGAGGCTCGAGTGGTGCGTAGTAGTACATCACCTTCAGCATTTTGGTGGAGACGTAATGAGCCGGTAGCGAATGACGTGCTTGGGCGGGCGACGGGCGAGGACGAGATGAAATGAGAATACCAGCGAAGCTCGGTATGTCGGCGATGGTTGGGTAGTACGGACGCAGACGCAGTAGGAGTACAGTAGCGGAGAGGAAGGTGGAAGAGGCGAGAAGGGAGGGGGAGGGTGTATACGAGGGCGGAGGGAGGAGGGCGTAGGCGAGAGGGAGGAAAATGTGGAGACGACAGCGACAGTAGATGGGGCTGGAGCCGAATATGGTAGAGCATAGTCAGAATACCATCCATAGGGCGATCAGAGGTGACGGCGTTTGAATGGTGCAGCAGTTCTTTGCGAGCATAGCACGTTGTTGTGTCCGCCACGGCAAAAAGAACAAGTTACATTGCAATTTCCACCGTGTTCAGGACGCAAGCATCGCACGCATAAGTGTAGTTCAGATGCTCGCATGGCTCTCGAAACCGGGTCAGGATGACGATGACAGCGGGCTGTATGATGATTGTCGAGATTTTCACCAACTGGACAGAAGGCACAATTCGACGTGGGAGCAGTACGCTCCATTAGCACATGAATGTCGTCTTGAATTTGGGACACTTTCGAAAGGACCGCTTCTAGACGATTAGAAATTCGGCAGACGGTTTCGGTGAGCGATTCCATGGAAGCGCGGTATTCCAGCTCCATCAGCTGAATATCGCGGTCGATGTCGTCGGCCATACAGATGCGAATGGACCCTGCTTGATTTTTCGGCGCCCAATACAAAAAGAGACTACAAGCGAAAAGCCATGCCAGGTGGCGTTGCTCCTCGTCACATTGGAGGTGACGTTCTGGCGCATTTGTGGCATGGGAGCTGGAAGAGAGGTGCGCGTATCGTCCGTATGTCTGATGTAGTCACCGTGTTTGGCAAGAGACCGTGCCGCAGTAATCGCTATGTTGAATACTTTTTTTAGCACAAACCATGACCCTTTTAAAATGAGCAGGAGGACAATTGGTCCCAAAAAGTAGGTTGGTACCAAAACTGAGACTACAACTCCCAATATGAATAGGGCCGACCTCCAATGATTGACTGCTACGAGCCATAGTGGCGAAAGGTCCGGTAGGCTAAAGTCGTCGAACCAATCAAATTGGGGTAGAACCTCAGAAGTGCTGACTACCATGATGTTCGAGGTATCCACGTAGGGATGGTAGTACAAAATGCCTTGAAGCTTTGCCGACACATTTCTTCCTCCACACGTAGTGTAACATTCGGAGTCAACTACTGCCTTATTAGATGCTAAGTGTAGGAGTGTGGTCTTGTTGTGTGGATTGCATTCCACTGAGAAAACATATTTTTCACATTTAATTGTGGTCCATGAATTCGACAGCGTAAAGCAGGATATTGAAGCTCGGCTACCATGAGTGCAGCTATAGCAACCTTGTAGCGGTCCGATGTCCAGAACACATGGTTCGCTGATGCTGAGGGTTGCCCTGTCAAGGTTAATGGTAGACGAGATCGCCAAAGTCAACTCCTCTTCGGTAGACTCTGACACGATCGAACGATTCACGCCCCTGAGCGTAAAGCGTGGTTTGTAAATCGAAAGAACGTAATCAGGATTTCGGCGTAGCTGTGATAGGTTGTTGTGAGGACAGTGACACCGTGGCCTATTTCCACTCACATCACAACACAAAAATGAGCGTTTATGCAGAAGAAAATTGTGATCGTGCCTGTCCTCGCTTGAGCAGATCACCGGAAAGATGAAAGTCGGGAGGAAGAGCAATAGTCTCGTTCGTAGTCTGCACGGAATTGGTGACGATGTAGTTGCATCTTCTGTAGAGAAATCACCGTGAAGTTAAAATTTCCGAACGAAGCCGTAGTGTATGGCAATAATGTAAGCCTTTCTGTTCGCTGTTCGTTGTAGATGCGAATTGTAGCGTCGATCTTGATGATGGGATCCCATGCAGAGCATTCAAATATTTCGTACACGTTCGGTGATATGGGAACGTGGATAACACGGAAAAACGTGCAGGGCCGTATAGGAATCGCACAGATGCAATTGATCCCACTACACTGAACTGAACATGCAGAGTATCCCGGATACATCGCGGAACTGTTTAGTTCAGGAATAACTCTTTTCGGCTCTAATGATTCGCAAGTATTGCCGGTACATGAACCCATTCCTCGGCAACGTGTTACGTAGCGAACTTGCTGTTGCGTTGATCTTGTCCAAAACCATGACAATTTAGAGCACTCTAATTGTAGAGGCTGTCGTTGGAGTTTGATAGACCCCACACTCACATTTGAGTGGCGTAATTCGATGCATAGACTTGACTGAACCTTGTTGAACAGTACCTCGTCTCTGTATTCATAGTGGCACTCATTATGATCTGTGCAAGTTAATTCGATCGAATGGCGTATGAATCCGTTTTGACATGCTTGGACTGCAACTATAAGACACAAGCCTATTATCACGGTAATAGGCAAAGGTCGGAGAATCGCAGGAGAAAACGAACTTAACGAGAATGGTGCGGGCTTGTGACGTGGATTCAAGACCGAAAGTTCGACGGATTCGATTCCTGGTGAAAGACTTGCAGTAGCTCCTTTAGCCTTCTTTTTCTTCGAACGGTTGCGAACGAACCATATTACCATAACGAGCATACTAGCAAAGAAGTACAGAATAACTCCCAAGGTTATCAGCGCTCCTGTGGGCCAACAGTGTGGGTTGGCCAGTAAACGTTTCGACAGAAACTTGGACGCATGTTCGCAAAATGGAATCGAGTGGCAAAATCGTGTTTCCGTGCCGTTCCTATGTCGCATCGTTACCTTTATGGCGGAATTAGTGGGAGAAGGTGGCAGCTTGTACTGCAGTGGGGTCGTAAGTTTGCCAAAACGCTTGCATGTACTGTCAAAGCACAGTTCAAAGGCTGACTGTGGCGGCCAAATAGTTACGGAGCCATTCAAACAACTAATGGTCTTTTGGTGTGTGAGCGCTGGACATATCATGAGTAGCGTCAGGAAGAGTAAGGTCTCCATGTTCTTATGACTGGGGAATTTCTCCTTTTTAGAGCTCTCGTTTAAATGAGGAGCTTGTGTTCGAGTCGTCTGTTCGTTCTGTGAGCACTCGCGAAGGCGTTCTTGCTGTTTTTGCTGCCGTGCTTCGTATGCTTTCGTTTTTGCGGCTCGTGGCAAAGTCGGACGCCTGTGTGGAGGCGCAGGAAGTGCCGTTGTCGGCCCTGTTCGTTCGGTCTCTGCATCTGTTGTCCGTGCCTTTTCATTGCGACGCGGCAGTGTTGCTCTAATTTCCAACGGATAGAGCTTGCTTAGTGGACGTTGGATTGGTGTTGATCTATGCGGAATTTTTACCTTGGCAGAACGGACTTTCCCATCCGCGCTCGGTTGCAATTCAACTATCCTACCCATTGGCCAGTGCCCGCGCGGTACTAGATCATGTTCTATGAGAACTATTTCACCTTCTTCAGGAATCGATCTTGTGTTGACTCGTCCTGCTTTGAATCGCTTTTTATGCGTATCTCTCAATAGTGTTAAATATTCGGTGTTCCATATATTCCAAAACCTGTCGGCGATTCTTTCAGAGAACTGTAACGCTTCCCTGGCTTGCGAGACTGTCTGCAAACCGTCCTCGTCATAGGCTAAGTCATCGTCGCTATCGATTTCATGGCATGTTGGAAGCGAAAATTGCAAGTTTCCCTGAAGGAAATCTACTGGTCGCAGTGGAATGGCATCGATGTCTGATGTGTTTACCGCTGTTAAAGGTCTGGTATTGAGGATGGCCTCTATTCGAGCGATCGTTGTACTCATTTCTGGGAATGACAATTTTTTTCGTCCCACACTTTTTTGGTATGCAATTTTAACCGATCCAACCAAGCGCTCCCATACACCTCCCATCCAGGGGGCACCGGGAGGGTTGAAAATCCAGGTGATCTTATTTTCGGCGCAGTATGTGTGAAGCGACTTGTCATGCGCAGGGACGTGCTCAAAGAACGAATCGATGACTTTTTTACCTAGCGTGAAGTTGCTTCCGCAATCAGTGCGAACAAGCTTTGGAACCCCTCTACGAGCCGTGAATCGAATGAAACTGTTTATAAACGCGGTAGCTGACAGGTTCTCAACTAGCTCCAGATGGATTGCGCGTGTAAGGAGGCATGTATATAAGCATACATAGGCCTTCGCGTTGTCACTCATTGTGTATGGTCCAAGAAGATCACAGCCTGTGTGTTCGAATGGTCTAGCGCGTCGAACTCGGTCCGAAGGCAACGGAGCCATTTCTGGCAGCCTAAACGGAAGACTCTGTGCTCGGCGACAGACAGAGCAGCGGTTGAGGATACGCCGTGCTTGTCTCGAGGGGCGCGACAACCAAAAGCGTTGTCGAGCTAGCGTGAGGAGATGGTTCTTCCCACAGTGTGCGTTGTTTTTATGCAAGTCGGTGAGAATGAGCCTCATAATATCCGATTGCGCAGGGATATAAATCGGATTTCGCGCATCGTAGGGTAGATGAGCATTCTCCAACCTGGAGGCACAACGGATTATTCCCTGTTCGTCTCGGAAGATGTTCTTGTCCCTGTTGCGAGCTTGCAATTCCTTCAGGGTGATTGCTTTGTGTTCATGCCTGAGGATCATCAGTTCTGCGAGCTCCATGTCCTTTTTGGTAATATATGGTTGTGGATCGAACTGAGATACGCTACGAAGCTGCATGTTACGACTTTTCTTCGTATTTACTCTTTCAACAAGTCGTTGTATGAATTTTGCCACGTATGCTATGACTCTCAATGTTTTCGACAGGCTACCGAATCGCTGTAGATCCACTAATTCTCCGTTCTCCTCTTTCTCTTCAACTTCTGCGGCTGGAGCGCATATTATTTCCTCCTCTTGCGCAGTGTCAAAAGAAAGGAAGTCAATAGCTTCGATATTCGTTAATGCTGTTCTTTCGGTGAGTAGCCACTGTGGGCCTTTGATCCACTCCAGTGAGGGAAGCTGAGCAGCGCTCACTCCTCGGGTGCCCGCATCCGCTGGGTTTTTTTCGCCAGATACATGGAAAAACTCGATTTTTTGTCCTAATGATGTGAGTTTATTGATGATGGTTCTTATACGGTCTCTCTGATTAGTGACAAAGAGAGGAAGTTTTCTGGACGTACGGATCCAGTTCAGGGCTATAAGACTGTCACTGACTATATTTACTTGAGCAGGTCTCGAGGAAAGGGCTGAGCAGATGGATTCACCAAGGCGTACTGCCAGCAAGATAGCTAACAATTCCAGTCTCGGTATGGAAAGCAAACGTTTTCGAGGAGCTAGTTTCGTTTTGCCGCTCAGCAGTGTAGAAACTGCTTCAGATTCACGTTCCATGAAAGCACACACAGCCATGGCCTGGCTACTGGCGTCGGCGAAAATCCACAACCGAGTTGGAGTAGTATTGTGCGCACAGGGAAACATCATTCTAGGCACTTCAATTTGAGCATTGTTGACCCTTTCTGCGGTGGCAATCCACTCATGTGCTAATTTCGTCTCAATTGGAGCAATCCATTCCTTTGTTGTTTCAAAAATGGACCGAAGTAAGCATTTTTGTTTGATCAGGAGAGGGCCTCCAAACCCTATTGGATCGTATATCGAGTGGAGATTCTTCAGTGCGTCTCGTTTCACCTGAACATCACCAGCTATGTTGGTGGAGAATGAGAAAATGTCTGTGACCGGATTGTAGTTTACACCTAGTAATTTCATGGGCCCAAATGGTGCTTTGTCGCCTTCGTTCAACTGCGCATTCACAACGCTGGAGTTACTGACGAAAGATCTAAGATTCATACCGATTGCGGCAAAAAGCTTTTTCGATTCCCGATATTTCTCAATTGCCTCTTCTTCAGTAGTCGCTGTCATTAAGACGTTATCGACGTAGAGATACCGTAAGATTTCGTTAGCTAGCGGCGTACCGATCTTGTTAAAATATGCGGATATGACCATATTCAAAATACTCGGCGAAGCCGTAGTTCCGAAAGGTACACGTTTGCAACGGTACTCCACCACGTTGCCGCTCGTAGGTGGCTTGTTTGTGTCACGAAGCCACAAAAATCGACATAAGTCGCGGTGATTCTCCAGTATGCGTATTTGAGTAAACGCTGCTTGAATATCCGCTATCAATATAATACGTGGCTGGCGACTAGCTATCAGGATATCGTGTATTTTGTTTACGAACGAAGCTCCCGTATATAAAACGTCATTTAACGATAAGTGACCCCGTTGGCGCGAGGAAGCATCGAAAACGATACGGAGTGGGGTAGATTTATTTTCCTTCCACACACCCGAGTGTGGCATGTAATATGTGCCCACAGAGTCAGGAACATCGTTCACTACTTCTTCGATGACGTCGTCTTCCAAGTATTGATCCAGTATTTTGGCATACCATTTCTTTTGTTCTGGGAACGCATTCAAGTGTTTCATCAGCGCTATTAGTCGATTCAGGGCTAATTTCCGGTTGTCCGTCAATTCCGAGATGTTTTCCTTCAAAGGAAAAGGTGCGACGACATGGTTCTCCTCAAAACGGATCGATTGGGCATACTTTGACCGGTAGGCGCATGTGCTATCATCTTGAGCCCCTTCTATTGTAGAGATACCCAAACTTTCTAGTTCGAAAAGTAGTTTTATCTTTTCCGAATCTGGGACACTTTCGTTGAGGATGGTGTTACACGATGGACTAATCAAAGAGCTTGAAACCGCAGAATCAGTCCTCCCGCGACCATATGCTGCTAGTCCAAACACTGTCTTAGCTACACGTAGGCCTGAAGGCATAACAACAGGAGGGACATGTTCTAAGACCAGGGAACTGAACAAATCTATTCCAATAATGATGTGCGGTCTCTGCATTTCTCCTCGCACGCGACTGTTTGAAAGGCATATATCATTTTCCTCCATGAATTCGATGTCTTTCTCAGTGAGAAGCACTGACGGAAAACCCTCGACCAGTGTTGGCTTTGTCCGTAGGGGAATCTGTAGTTCCTTGCCATGCGCACTCAGAATGTTCATTCGGACATGATGGCAGACGAAAGTATCTGTGATTCCTCCAATGCCAGATAGGGTACACTGTTCAGAATGGAAAACTGGAAGTGCTAGAGATTCCGCCACGTGTTCTTCTATCAAGCTTACGTGGGCTCCTGTATCGAAGAATAGTAGCGCTCGTATGTATGACCTCTTTCTCTCACTCAACACCAATGCCTCCTACTGTCCATGAGCACTATTTGTGTTGGTGCAGCTAACCATCTGCGCTGTGTTAGTCGCATGGGTATATAGTAACGCTGCAGGTGTGGTAGCACTGGGCCGCGTTTCTGGAACTGGAGAGGCCTCCTGACTCTGCACCTCTTTCTGGGTGTCGGAAGGCAAGATTGGAGGCAGCGACGAGCATGGCGCGCTTGCATTAGTGAGGTTCTGTGTCACTCATCAGGCGGCGTTGTCCCATTGGTACTCGCCTGTGGCGTTTGTGGCGCTGGCGAGCTTCTTAGACAGAGCGAACCATCGTGAAGTCTGCTGCAGTGTGGACAATTAGAGCGTTTGCATTCGTTACTCTTGTGCTCGCTTGAGAAGCATTTCCAACATAAGTTGTTCTCCATAACTACCTGTCTACGAGCACTGGGTTCTGCAACTGTGCGGCACTGAAATGACTTGTGGTTCGTCTTTTTACAGAATGCACATGGGTTCGGTGCAGATAACACCTTTTCTCGGCGCGCTGTCTCTCTGGTGACCTGTATGTTGCTCTGGCTTGACAGTGCTTAACCGCTGCGAGATGTACCTGTAACGTGCAATAAGTTCCTTGAGGCAATCCAAGGTCTGTCCTATAGAACACGATTCAGTATCTCGGTGTACTTTCAAAAATTCCTCTACGATGTTTCGTGGTAACTTCTGAAGGATATTTTCAGTCCACATTGGATCGTGAACTTCTAGGATGTTGTATCTAGTAGAGACCATTTCATTCACAAGGGAACGAATTTCATCGAACATGTGTTCGCAAGAAAGAATGTTGCCTTTTGCAGGCTCAAGCTCCGCTAGCCCTTTGATAACGTGTGCCCTAGCATTGGAGACATTGCCGTATTCCTTTTTCAAAAGATCAACCATCCACGGATAGTTTTGTGGGACTAGTTTTATACCTTTCACTGCCGTGACTGCCCTTCCTGTAAGGCTATCTTTGAGAAGAATCATTTTTTCGATGAATGTTCAATGTGGTATTTTTGTGAACCATCGTTTTGAAGACTGCCCAGAATTCCATGAAGTCTTCAGGTCGACCGTCAAATTTGGGTATCGTGACTCGGGGTGGTTGGACCGAGTTTTGTGCTGGTAGTTCATAGGCTACCCTTGCTGTATTGGGTTGAATCAAATTCTGTTCCTGTCCCCGTGAAAAGTAATCGATATTCTCATAGATGTGATGACGATCTTCGTTATCTTGTAAATTTGTTGGAATTTCGTTCAATTCGTCAGCGACCAGATGTTCATGTGACAAAATGTTTTTATCTGTGCTGCCTTTCGTTCAGCAACCAGATGTTTCATGTGACAAAATGTTTTTATCTGTGCTGCCTTCTCTTTTTTTCGAGGTTTTTGTATAATGCTGCTCAGCTGTCTCAGCGCGCTCAAGGAATGGAGATGACGCTCTCGGAAAATGTGTTGTGAGTTTCATGATGAATCTCAGAAAGACGCGTTTTCAGAGCAGATAGGATAGCGTCTGTTTCTGTGAGCAGGGAGTCAAAACCGATATCCGTTTCGATTTGTTGGAATTCGTCTAGGAATTCCTTCCTTTCACTCTTTTTTGTGGCCATATACTCTTTCTGGATACCCTCAATAATGACAAGAAACTTCACTCCTAGATGTTTCAAGGAGGGTAATGGCATGCTTTATCGAGTCATGTAGTCGGGAGCCGTGCTCCTGTTTTTCGTCCGCCGCTGTTGGATACTCTACGTCGTTTGTGAAAGGACGGAAACATGTCTATCTGCGCTTTTAGCAAAGTACAGGCACGCTTAAGGCTGCTTTTTTGGAAATATAGCGCCATGATGAGTTCTGTCTGCCTCGTATAGGTGACCGATTTATTCCTTTGCGAGGAAGGTGTCTACCGTCGAGGTGACCGTTTTTGGTGCTTGCAGTCGTATCTGATTTGGTAACGTGGTGGGCTGCAGCCTGATCGCAAGCCTGGGTCTTACTACTTACGCTCTTGGCAGGAAGTAGTAAGCGGGCAGCACGAGAAAGTCGTGCGGTTGATGCACCAAAACTGTGCCTACTTGGGCACTTATCTGTTAGATGCGGTTCAGTGGAAAAGCAAACTAATTTATTGCCTGGCCACTCACGGCCTCTACACAGCTGAAAAGCCAAGCACAAAGGGGCGGGCGCCGCGCGAAGACTGGAAGATCGCGTTGACCGCGACAAGCTGTGCACTGGCGCCCCTCTCCGTCACTGGTCTTTTCATTCGCTGCCTACGTGGTAGACGGCCTCTGTCAACATGGGGTTCAATTGCTCTTTCCTTCCACTCACTTTCGCTTTGATGGCATGTTTTAGTGAGCTTTCCAAGCCGCTCTCAAACTTCTGTCATGCCTAATTTCTCCTAACTGTTTTGTCATTCTCGTTTGATATCTGTCGATTTTATCTATTACCTTTCGAGGTGTTGTTTTCCAAGAATCCGAAAGTTCAGCTCTTTTCTAAGGGCTAAATATTCAGAAAATAGCTTGCTCAAATGTAATTTACAAATACCTTCCGATTATGAATCAACTTTCGCAGGAATCCTTGACCATGATAACACCTTAGAAAGCATAGATAGAAGAAGCTGTCTATAACAGAAAACGTTAGTAAGAGTTGCAATTTACCATATCTAAATGTTCTGCTAGCCGTGCTCCGAGTAACCGAGCTTTCCTTGCTATAGTAATACAATGCATTTTTTGGTCCAACAGGGGGGAACACAACAGTTCGTGCTGAACAGTCCTTTTTTACGACTTTTTTCGCTGTGGAAGTTAGGCAGGAAATGAGATAGTTTATGCACCTAGGAGATATCCCACCCTGCAATAACCAAAAATACTGAAACCTTCACATACTCAAAAGAACCCCTCCCCCCTGCAGTGACTAAATTCACGTAAACAGTAAGGAATTACTGCACTATCTATCGCGGCCATACCTCATTGGAGTGGCCTCACATTTCTATTTCTAAGGAAGTTTTTGTTGAAAAACCTGTTTCACTACAAATCTCTCCAAGGTTACTTATTTAGTAACCAACTTATCTCCGAGATGATCATAGTGCCAATATAATAACAGATAATCTTGCCTATGTCTACTGATGTTTCTCGGCTAAGCCACGCACCTCGTTCTCGTTTAGTTTTGAAAAATCGTTTGGGTGTGCTCTCAGCTTATGCGATTACTAGCGAAAGCATGCTGATGTTCAAACTAGTGTATTACCTTTTACCTTTTACCTTTTACCTTTTACGCGATTTGTCTTCAAACATTCCTCCATGTTTGCAAATCGGAACCTTTCCATCTTTCTCTGTCTTGTGCTATTCTTGTCCATTGGTGACCATGTAACTGTACCATTGGATCGCACCATCTCATCTTCGGATGACCCACAGGGCGTTTGCATCCTCGCGGGTACCATTCTGTCAACCTTGCCGTCCATCTGTTCCTTTTCGGATGGAAGGCGAACTCACCGAAACGTTAACCAATAAACTGTCAATATCAACCTTGTGTGCAGTTCAACAAAACTATGCCATTCAATCGCTACAATGCCGGGGTTCGGCGAAAGTTAAGTGTGGTGTTATCTTTACATCTTGCCAGCCCATGATTGTTTCTTTCGATATATGGTTTTGACAGCACAACGTTTGTGCGTTTTCTCAGCTCTTCGTTGGTCACAGGGTCTCTCAGAGAGATTTTTCATATCCTTTTTTCCATGTGCCGTTGTGTTAGTGCTCACATTTTTCTATCATTTTTCGTTGTCGCTCTGGTTTCTGATGCAAGATTACTGTATTGGACCTCTGATTGTGCAAATGTCAGGGAATGCATCGCAGTCGAGAATGTTCTGGCTATCCGACATATGCAGTCACCTAGAAGGGCAAGCCTAATGAATCTGTTCCCACTGCAAGCTGTTATACCCGAACCCTTCCACAGCTCCAGATATGAGAGCTCTTTTGGCGGAGCGCAAATGAGAAACAGGGGTTTACCAAGCTCCAGTGATTCTGCTCGCATGTAGGAGTTGCGCCTTCCACTTGTAGCTCCTTCCCGGGATCAAATCCTTTTGTTTCCTCATGATCAAATCCCGAGTACGCAGTAGAGCAGCATAAAGGGATAAAAGGGTAAAGCATTTGCCGCTGATCAATCCCCTTTTTGGGATGCGTAGTGGCGTTTGAATGCGATGTGGCCTATACAATGACTTGCGGGGGCCAGCCGATGTACAAGTCAGTGTTTTTATCCTCCCAGACAAGTCTGGTACCAATTAACCGACCCCGGAGGGATGGAAGGCTTGGTTGGCCCGGGCGACTCACGACCCAGGATTTGATCCCCGGACCGCTCGCGTGGTAAGCGTGCCACTTGCCACTACACCACTTCCGCCCCAGAGAAAGAACTTGCGATAAATAGACAAAGAGAACAAGTGATCATAATACGATAGGAATTCTAGCACTGGAATTGGGGACAACAGGCGATTACACATCATGTCACAGAAATGGATGAGATAACAAATAGCAGAAACTCTTCCAGTCAACCAGTCTCTCCTTTCGTTCTCCTGCACCTCCCGAAACGAACTGCGAGAATAATTGCTTGGCATGACCGGTTTATGGTTGTTCCCTTCGTTCCGCTCTTAATTGATGAACCGTTTTGCACCTCTGCTCCCGCGAAATGTAATTTACAACCGCAATTCATAGCAAAAACGCCAAGATCGAATCATTGGGACATCCCGAAATTAGCGGGCGGGGGTGGAGTCATGGCGGTTTCGCCCTTTTTCGGCCATTGGAGCGAGGATCAAATGTCGCGAACTCGTTCGCAGACCAACCAGAGCTTCCATCCTCCTGCATCAGCTGCTCCGATGAAGCCTAATGAAACAGTCGATCAGGTGACACCAGACTTGCCAGAGAGGATTAAAACTCTTGCTCACCAGTTTTCCCCTCTAAGTTATTGCATAATCAAAAGAAAGAAAAACTTGTGTGTATGCAAGTCGAAATCTACTACCAGCGATTCGAGTGGAGGGTAGCACGCAATGCGGGCATCTCGCGTGCTGAAGACGGGGACTAGTCATCCTTGAATAATTTTGCTCCTTTTATCTTTAACCTCAGCTATGTCCAAAAGAAGGTCCTAATTTATCGAATGCTTAATGGGTTCGATCCAATGACCACGGCAAAACGGAGGCCTCTACCATGCGCCATCCAATCGCTCACATCACCAATCTGCTCATTCGTGGAACAAGAGTCCAACTGTGTGTCGCTATTGCAGGTTCTATTGTTCACGTCACGTCTTCGTCCACTCTTTGGGGAATACTGGGCATGCCGCGTTCTCTCGCACCCAAGTGGAGCCTGTTGAAGCCTCGTCAGAGGCATTCCTCTCGCTCAAACACGCTCACTCGATCTATTGCGTCATCGTCAGCTTCGCCCTCCAGCCACGCTTTCGAATCCGCTCCAGCGTATCGATCTAATCGTCAAAAGACGCGCCTTTCGCGGACATTTGCCTCTTCGAGAACCGTATTTTTATGCGCATTTATGGGATTCTAAATGGCAGTTCTTCGTTCAGTCGGGGCGAGCCACGCTTTTCCTATCCATCTAACCTCCACATTTGGCGATCCAAATTCCATGATTTTCGAGCATTTTCTTGAACAATAACATTATCAATTTTCTTCTCCGACTATGGAGGTATTAAATAATCGTTCGCAGTTGACGAGCTGATTAGAATGTTTGAGTTATGTGGTCCCAAACGATGCTGGGCACGAGAAGCAGATTGTTCAATGAGTGTTGAGCTGGGATGCAGAGCAGCCATCCACCTGCGATAGTTTTTGTATGGGGTGGCATGTGGTCCATGTCTAAGGCAGGGAGAGCCACAGTCGATGATTCCTCGACTGGGTGATGAGTCGCGTCCGTATCTAGGGACAGTGTGGATAGAAAAAGTGA